GCGTGGATCGATGCTCTCAAGTGAGTCGCGTGGATCGATGCTCTCAAGTGAGTCGCGTGGATCGATGCTCTCAAGTGAGTCGCGTGGATCGATGCTCTCAAGTGAGTCGCGTGGATCGATGCTCTCAAGTGAGTCGCGTGGATCGATGCTCTCAAGTGAGTGAGTCGCGTGGATCGATGCTCTCAAGTGAGTGAGTCGCGTGGATCGATGCTCTCAAGTGAGTCGCGTGGATCGATGCTCTCAAGTGAGTGAGTCGCGTGGATCGATGCTCTCAAGTGAGTCGCGTGGATCGATGCTCTCAAGTGAGTCGCGTGGATCGATGCTCTCAAGTGAGTCGCGTGGATCGATGCTCTCAAGTGAGTCAGTCGCGTGGATCGATGCTCTCAAGTGAGTCGCGTGGATCGATGCTCTCAAGTGAGTCGCGTGGATCGATGCTCTCAAGTGAGTCGCGTGGATCGATGCTCTCAAGTGAGTCGCGTGGATCGATGCTCTCAAGTGAGTCGCGTGGATCGATGCTCTCAAGTGAGGGAGTCGCGTGGATCGATGCTCTCAAGTGAGTGAGTCGCGTGGATCGATGCTCTCAAGTGAGTCGCGTGGATCGATGCTCTCAAGTGAGTCGCGTGGATCGATGCTCTCAAGTGAGTCGCGTGGATCGATGCTCTCAAGTGAGTCGCGTGGATCGATGCTCTCAAGTGAGTCGCGTGGATCGATGCTCTCAAGTGAATCGCGTGGATCGATGCTCTCAAGTGAGTCGCGTGGATCGATGCTCTCAAGTGAGTCGCGTGGATCGATGCTCTCAAGTGAGTGAGTCGCGTGGATCGATGCTCTCAAGTGAGTGAGTCGCGTGGATCGATGCTCTCAAGTGAGTCGCGTGGATCGATGCTCTCAAGTGAGTCGCGTGGATTGATGCTCTCAAGTGAGTGAGTCGCGTGGATCGATGCTCTCAAGTGAGTTGCGTGGATCGATGCTCTCAAGTGAGTCGCGTGGATCGATGCTCTCAAGTGAGTCAGTCGCGTGGATCGATGCTCTCAAGTGAGTCGCGTGGATGGATGCTCTCAAGTGAGTGAGTCGCGTGGATCGATGCTCTCAAGTGAGTCGCGTGGATCGATGCTCTCAAGTGAGTGAGTCGCGTGGATCGATGCTCTCAAGTGAGTCGCGTGGATCGATGCTCTCAAGTGAGTGATTCACGTGGATCGATGCTCTCAAGTGAGTTGCGTGGATCGATGCTCTCAAGTGAGTCGCGTGGATCGATGCTCTCAAGTGAGTCAGTCGCGTGGATCGATGCTCTCAAGTGAGTCGCGTGGATCGATGCTCTCAAGTGAGTGAGTCGCGTGGATCGATGCTCTCAAGTGAGTCGCGTGGATCGATGCTCTCAAGTGAGTGAGTCGCGTGGATCGATGCTCTCAAGTGAGTCGCGTGGATCAATGCTCTCAAGTGAGTCGCGTGGATCGATGCTCTCAAGTGAATCGCGTGGATCGATGCTCTCAAGTGAGTCGCGTGGATCGATGCTCTCAAGTGAGTCGCGTGGATCGATGCTCTCAAGTGAGTCGCGTGGATCGATGCTCTCAAGTGAGTCGCGTGGATCGATGCTCTCAAGTGAGTGAGTCGCGTGGATCGATGCTCTCAAGTGAGTCGCGTGGATCGATGCTCTCAAGTGAGTGAGTCGCCAGGATCGGTGCTCTCAAGTGAGTGAGTCGCGTGGATCGATGCTCTCAAGTGAGTGAGTCGCGTGGATCGATGCTCTCAAGTGAGTCGCGTGGATCGATGCTCTCAAGTGAGTGATTCACGTGGATCGATGCTCTCAAGTGAGTTGCGTGGATCGATGCTCTCAAGTGAGTCGCGTGGATCGATGCTCTCAAGTGAGTCAGTCGCGTGGATCGATGCTCTCAAGTGAGTCGCGTGGATCGATGCTCTCAAGTGAGTGAGTCGCGTGGATCGATGCTCTCAAGTGAGTCGCGTGGATCGATGCTCTCAAGTGAGTGAGTCGCGTGGATCGATGCTCTCAAGTGAGTCGCGTGGATCAATGCTCTCAAGTGAGTCGCGTGGATCGATGCTCTCAAGTGAATCGCGTGGATCGATGCTCTCAAGTGAGTCGCGTGGATCGATGCTCTCAAGTGAGTCGCGTGGATCGATGCTCTCAAGTGAGTCGCGTGGATCGATGCTCTCAAGTGAGTCGCGTGGATCGATGCTCTCAAGTGAGTGAGTCGCGTGGATCGATGCTCTCAAGTGAGTCGCGTGGATCGATGCTCTCAAGTGAGTGAGTCGCGCGGATCGATGCTCTCAAGTGAGTCGCGTGGATCGATGCTCTCAAGTGAGTCGTGTGGATCGATGCTCTCAAGTGAGTCAGTCGCGTGGATCGATGCTCTCAAGTGAGTCGCGTGGATCGATGCTCTCAAGTGAGTGAGTCGCGTGGATCGATGCTCTCAAGTGAGTCGCGTGGATCGATGCTCTCAAGTGAGTCGCGTGGATCGATGCTCTCAAGTGAGTCGCGTGGATCGATGCTCTCAAGTGAGTGAGTCGCGTGGATCGATGCTCTCAAGTGAGTCGCGTGGATCGATGCTCTCAAGTGAGTCGCGTGGATCGATGCTCTCAAGTAAGTCGCGTGGATCGATGCTCTCAAGTGAGTCGCGTGGATCGATGCTCTCAAGTGAGTCGCGTGGATCGATGCTCTCAAGTGAGTCGCGTGGATCGATGCTCTCAAGTGAGTCGCGTGGATCGATGCTCTCAAGTGAGTGAGTCGCGTGGATCGATGCTCTCAAGTGAGTGAGTCGCGTGGATCGATGCACTCAAGTGAGTCGGGTGGATCGATGCTCTCAAGTGAGTGAGTCGCGCGGATCGATGCTCTCAAGTGAGTCGCGTGGATCGATGCTCTCAAGTGAGTCGTGTGGATCGATGCTCTCAAGTGAGTGAGTCGCGCGGATCGATGCTCTCAAGTGAGTCGCGTGGATCGATGCTCTCAAGTGAGTCGTGTGGATCGATGCTCTCAAGTGAGTCAGTCGCGTGGATCGATGCTCTCAAGTGAGTCGCGTGGATCGATGCTCTCAAGTGAGTGAGTCGCGTGGATCGATGCTCTCAAGTGAGTCGCGTGGATCGATGCTCTCAAGTGAGTCGCGTGGATCGATGCTCTCAAGTGAGTCGCGTGGATCGATGCTCTCAAGTGAGTCGCGTGGATCGATGCTCTCAAGTGAGTCGCGTGGATCGATGCTCTCAAGTGAGTGAGTCGCGTGGATCGATGCTCTTAAGTGAGTGAGTCGCGTGGATCAATGCTCTCAAGTGAGTCGCGTGGATCGATGCTCTCAAGTGAGTCGCGTGGATCGATGCTCTCAAGTGAGTCGCGTGGATCGATGCTCTCAAGTGAGTCGCGTGGATCGATGCTCTCAAGTGAGTCGCGTGGATCGATGCTCTCAAGTGAGTCGCGTGGATCGATGCTCTCAAGTGAGGGAGTCGCGTGGATCGATGCTCTCAAGTGAGTGAGTCGCGTGGATCGATGCTCTCAAGTGAGTCGCGTGGATCAATGCTCTCAAGTGAGTCGCGTGGATCGATGCTCTCAAGTGAGTCGCGTGGATCGATGCTCTCAAGTGAGTCGCGTGGATCGATGCTCTCAAGTGAGTCGCGTGGATCGATGCTCTCAAGTGAGTCGCGTGGATCGATGCTCTCAAGTGAGTCGCGTGGATCGATGCTCTCAAGTGAGGGAGTCGCGTGGATCGATGCTCTCAAGTGAGGGACTCGCGTGGATCGATGCTCTCAAGTGAGGGAGTCGCGTGGATCGATGCTCTCAAGTGAGTGAGTCGCGTGGATCGATGCTCTCAAGTGAGTCGCGTGGATCGATGCTCTCAAGTGAGTCGCGTGGATCGATGCTCTCAAGTGAGTCGCGTGGATCCATGCTCTCAAGTGAGTCGCGTGGATCGATGCTCTCAAGTGAGTCGCGTGGATCGATGCTCTCAAGTGAGTCGCGTGGATCGATGCTCTTAAGCGAGTGAGTCGCGTGGATCGATGCTCTTAAGTGAGTGAGTCGCGTGGATCAATGCTCTCAAGTGAGTGAGTCGCGTGGATCGATGCTGTCAAGTGAGTCGCGTGGATCGATGCTCTCAAGTGAGTCGCGTGGATCGATGCTCTCAAGTGAGTGAGTCGCCTGGATCGGTGCTCTCAAGTGAGTGAGTCGCGTGGATCGATGCTCTCAAGTGAGTGAGCCGCGTGGATCGATGCTCTCAAGTGAGTCGCGTGGATCGATGCTCTCAAGTGAGTGAGTCGCGTGGATCGATGCTCTCAAGTGAGTGAGTCGCGTGTATCGATGCTCTCAAGTGAGTCGCGTGGATCGATGCTCTCAAGTGAGTCGCGTGGATCGATGCTCTCAAGTGAGTCGCGTGGATCGATGCTCTCGAGTGAGCCGCGTGGATCGATGCTCTCAAGTGAGTGAGTCGCGTGGATCGATGCTCTCAAGTGAGTCGCGTGGATCGATGCTCTCAAGTGAGTCGCGTGGATCGATGCTCTCAAGTGAGTCGCGTGGATCGATGCTCTCAAGTGAGTCGCGTGGATCGATGCTCTCAAGTGAGTCGCGTGGATCGATGCTCTTAAGTGAGTGAGTCGCGTGGATCAATGCTCTCAAGTGAGTCGCGTGGATCGATGCTGTCAAGTGAGTCGCGTGGATCGATGCTCTCAAGTGAGTCGCGTGGATCGATGCTCTCAAGTGAGTCGCGTGGATCGATGCTCTCAAGTGAGTGAGTCGCCTGGATCGGTGCTCTCAAGTGAGTGAGTCGCGTGGATCGATGCTCTCAAGTGAGTGAGTCGCGTGGATCGATGCTCTCAAGTGAGTCGCGTGGATCGATGCTCTCAAGTGAGTGAGTCGCGTGGATCGATGCTCTCAAGTGAGTCGCGTGGATCGATGCTCTCAAGTGAGTCGCGTGGATCGATGCTCTCAAGTGAGTGAGTAGCGTGGATCGATGCTCTCAAGTGAGTCGCATGGCTTGACTGTCATCCCTTGCGCGTACATCAAATCACTTATGTCGCACCGCTGTCTCCGTTGCCTTGCGCATCCATCCACCCTGCCGCCCATCCCTCCCTCCATGCCATGTGCGGGCGGCAGGAACGAGTTTGAGGGCGGGTTTGGGTCCATCACAGCCATGGCGGTCGGCCCCTCGCGCAACCTCAAGTACCATCCGCTCGCCCCCCGCGCCCTCGCCCTCCTGCGCTCCCGCCTCGTTCAAACCCGCCTCGCCGCCAACGCTGCTGGCTCGCCGCTCCCTCTGCCAACCAGCCGACTGCCCGAGGTGAGTGGTGCAGGTGAAGAGTCTCTGCGTGGGTGCCCCTCTCACGGCCTGTGTGCCCCTCTCACGGCCTGTGTGCCCCTCTCACTGCCTGTGTGCCCCTCTCACTGCCTGTGTGCCCCTCTCACTGCCTGTGTGCCCTTTCACTGCCTGTGTGGCCCTCTCATTTCCTGTGTGGCCCTCTCAAATGTTTGTTGAGTTCGAATTTGATGTGCTGCTGCCATGGCGAGTGGGCATGCTGCCATGGCGTGTTGGCGTGCTGCCATGGCGTGTGGGCGTGCTGCTATGGCGAGTGGGCGTGCTGCCATGGCGAGTGGGCGTGCTGCCATGGCGTGTGGGCGTGCTGCCGTGGCGAGTGGGCGTGCTGTCATGGCGAGTGGGCGTGCTGCCATGGCGAGTGGGCGTGCTGCCATGGCGAGTGGGCATGCTGCCATGGCGTGTGAACGTGCTGCCATGGTGTGTGGGCGTACTGCCATGGCGTGTGGGTGTGCTGCCATGGCGTGTGGGCGTGCTGCTATGGCGTGTGGGCGTGCTGCCATGGCGAGTGGGCGTGCTGCCATGGCGATTGGGCGTGCTGCCATGGCGATTGGGCGTGCTGCCATGGCGATTGGGCGTGCTGCCATGGCGAGTGGGCGTGCTGCCATGGCGAGTGGGTGTGCTGCCATGGCGTGTGGGCGTGCTACCATGGTGTGTGGGCGTGCTGCCATGGCATGTGGGCGTGCTGCCATGGCATGGCGAGTGGGCGTGCTGCCATGGCGTGTGGGCCTATGATGCGAAAGACGCTCAGAGGACGCTGCGTCCTGCGTCTGGACGCAGCGTCTGGACGCTAGGACGCAAGACGCGCGTCCAGACGCAGGACGCAGATCGAAAATTTCTCGGGCTGCCCCGTTTTTTTTTTTTTTTTTTTTCCAGATTACGAATTTCAATCTCGCGATTTCGACGCGACTGTCGAAATCGCGAAATTTTGACCCCCCATTGCCCAATTCGACATTGAAAAACAGCCCCCCCCCAACATTTCATAACCCCCCATGCAACAATTGAATTCCAAATACCTCTCAACCACTTCACATCTAGAAAACCCAACCAAGGTGCCTACCACCAAGCCCATTTAGCAATCCAACCAAGTCATTTCTCATTTCACCCACCCAACCAATTCTCTTTCGAAAACCCTAGAGGTTTTAGCCTACAAGCATAGCTTAGCTCCATTATGGCTTCATCAAGCAACCCTACGTCATCTAACGCATCTAGGGATGTTCATGCCGAGGATGAGTCTCCCCCGCAGCGTTTCACTAGTGATGGGGTGGAGAAGAAACCGCAAAAGCCCAAACACCATATTTAATGGGATGAGATGACTGGTTGCCTGCATGGAGTGCTGTGGTGGTAGTTTAATAGTTTGCGTGTTCTTCAGTGATAAGATAAACTGTGTATGTGACCTTGGGACATGTGTGTGACAATACGTGACTCACTTTAATCTTGAGATTTGGGGGAAAATTTGATGTTGGGGCCAAGTTTGCCTTGAAAGTGTGGAACTTTCTCCCCCCCCCCTCATCCCATGCCAAGCATGGGCATTTGACCCGACCCGGCCCGACCCGTCCCGTTGAGGGCGACCCGTTAGCTTAACGGGTCGGGTCGGGTCGGGGTAGCGGGTCGGGTTTGACTTTGTTTTGGTGACCCGACCCGCCCCGTGGGAACGGGTATTTGTGACCCGTTACCGGGTCGGTTACACCACGGGTCGGGTCGGGTCGGATCAAAATATGCTACATAGCAGCAGGGTATGGGGGTTAGGTCTGAATTGCTACATTGTAAACTACATGTTACAACTATATTCTTAAGTTTATACGTACCTTACATTAGCCCAAGGTGCATGAATTCCAGGGCATCCAAACATGAAATGCAGAAGTTTTTTCGCTTAAAACAAATGTCTATGGCGTATGTCAATAGACCAACAACCCTGTTTGTGAAGTGAATTCAATCAAGCATGGAAATAAATAAAATCTACTGTATCTCCAAAAGGGTTATGGCAAATGGCCTAAGGCCTATAGCGACCACTCCCACAGCAAACATTACTCAAAACCCATCGTCCTCGGCCTCATAGCACAACTCCACAAGCGAACGCGCAGCCCCTGCCACGTTCAATGACCTGCCGCTCGTGTTCTGCGCCATCCATGACTTGATAGCCATGAGGGCGCTAACACGAGGGGCGCTCAAGCGGTGACGCTGCCATGTCACTACGTTCCTGCCCTGGCTAAAAGCGTGCTCGCTCGCTGCAGATGTGGCTGGCACTGCCAGATAGTCCCGAGCCATTTCCCTCAAACCCTCTAAATCCTTCCTAACACGCCAGTACGCTAGCGGGCAACCCTTCTGTCTACCCTCAGCCAAGTATATGTCCACCTCGTCACTTCTCCGCCCCCCCCCCTTGCTGCCTCAAATGCATCCATCTGTGCAAAAAGCGCATTTTCGAAGCTAACCCCCCGCTGCCAGCGGCACGCGACGTCCCTGCGGCCTGAACACTAACACCAGCGCCGTCAGGGACCTCCCCCATGCCACTCGTAACCTCACCACCACCTCCCCGACTGCGCACTCTCTCCTGATATGCGACCAAACGATCGCGCACCAGGCGCATCACCGTCGACTCATCCACGCCATGCACACTCCTAGCACATCCCCCCACCTCTGTCACTTGCGCAGCATTGAGCGCCTCCCACTGGGGCATCTGGAAGAAGATGGTCTTGTAGCGGGGGTCAAGGAAGGTGGCGATCGCCAACTCTTCCTTGGTGCCGTACGGGTACTTCTTCAGCTTGCCGAGGGCTTTGGTGATGAGGGCCTGTGTGAGGGGTGAGACGGCTGGCTCGCGGTAGGTGATTTCCATCTTGTCCAGCAGTTGGTTGTACAGCGGCACCACCGCTGCAGCTGTCGGGTACAAGGAAGCCTCAGCTACCTTGGTGATCGAGTGGAAGGGCTGAAGAAAGTTCTTCAGCTCGACAAGCGCGTCCCAGTGGACGTCACTGAGACGTATTTTGTCGAGCTTCTCGCGTAGCCTAGGGGGGGGGGGGGGGGCTGGTATAGGACAACAACAAGGGTGGTACAGAGGGTTCACAAACTTAGTATACGATGGTGATGAAGTTTGACAACTCAACCCCCTTTCAAATCCTGCCCATACTCACGACCCTTGGGCGCCACACCATTCTCCCACACTCACTATTCGATACAGTCACAACTCCTCTAGCCCCCGACCAGCTACCCAAACTCACCATTCAATATAGTCACAACCCTTGGTGCGCCACACCAGCCCCGTATACTCACCATCACCCAACATATACACACTACCGGAGCCTATCACTCACGTCAGTCCGGCTGAACAACACTGTCAGTGCCTGTTGCAGCTCCAAGGCGCGGCAGATCATCTCGTAAGTGGAGCCCCAACGTGTAGGCGAGTCGGAGATCAGACGTAGCACCTTCGCTTTGTCTCTGCCTGCCAACTTGCGCTGCAGACTGGCAAAAGCCTCTGACCGCTGGACCGACCATCCAATGTACGAACACGCATCCCGTAGGCGTTTCAACGCCTCCTTCACATCGTCCAACTTCAATGCCTCCTGCACTGCAATGTTCATGACATGTGCAAGACAGCTGTGTACGGAAAGGGCATAAGGGAAGGAAACAGATTTAGCTAATGTAGAGGCCCGACCTCGTGATAAATTTACTACTACAGTATGCTGCCAAAGTGCCACATTTGAATCGATGCATGACAGGACATACCGAACGTGACGCGCAATGTCGAGCAGTGGATTAGCTGTCCAGGCCCCTGGCCCCTCTGCTGGGTCCCCCGACAGAAGGCGCATCGCCTTGTTGTTGTTCTCCGCATTGTCCGTCGTCACAGCAAACACTACATCCTGTAGGCCAGCCTCGGTCAAGATGCGCTCGAGGGTCTGTGCTGTGCTATGAGAGACCCTGTGTGCGAACCCTCCAACTGCACGAAATCCAAAATCCCCGAACGTAGCCTGAACTCACTAGTGATCCAGTGGACGGTCACACACATGAAAGCTGTATGGTTCTCACTAGTCCAGATGTCCAAGCTAAGGGACACCCTCCCCGCGAGACCGTCGCCAACGATCTCCTGCCTCAGCTCCTCTCGAGCCACCTCGCTGAATGCTTGCATGTCCCGTGCCAAACGGTAACGTGACCCCAGCAAATCCTTGGCCGATGGATTCAGCAAGGCGACAAATCGACGGAACTGGTGAGGTCGGGCAGGGACAAAGAAGCAAACACACACAAAGCATTGTCCCAGCTGTGTACCAGGGCATCCCAACCCAACTGAGATGTTCAGACAGGATTTGAGACTCCCGGTGCAGGAATAGAGGGTAGAGTAGTTGTTGTTTGACTCACCGAGCTCGGTCGACAAGACGAAACGGAAGATCCGCATCAGCAAACAACTCTACGAGAGCACTGCGTAACTCGTCCAGCGACACCCTTGGACTCATGAACGCGTGCATGCCAACACCACTACGACTCCCACTCCCCCCCCCCCCATGCGCCACTGCCCGCCGCGGCTACAGCAGCTGGGATGTTCGGCCAGGCAGCCGCGTGCTCCCATGCACCACCGTGCGGGTTGGGCACTGGTGGCCCATCGCCCGACACGCCATAGCCGCCCCAAGGAAACTCTAGGTCCTTTGGCTTCGCCGGGTCCAGGAACCGCCGCACCCAAATCTGCACATTAGGGTAGTGCACGCGCTTGACATGCTTCCACCCAGTCCCCGTGCTACCCCCATCCCATCCCATTACGTCCCCACACACCCGACACGGACGACAACCATCCTCAAGCTCACCAAACATTCCCACAAGTAAACCAGGGTAGTGCTTCCCTGCCAAACCCTCAACCACCGAATCCTTAGGCAAATCCTCCTTTCGTTGACGCTTTGACGCACGCCCACGACTCCCCGCTGTCCCACCACCCCGACTGATGCCACCAGCACGCAACGGCGTAGACCCAACACCATCGGACCGTTGAGTGGGTGCATTGCCTGGCCCTGGATCGGGCGCAGCCTCGGCCGCTCTCCCACCACCACTGCCACCGCGCCCAGCCCTTGCAGCACTATGCGCAACCCTCCCAACCCTCCCCCCACCTCGTCCATCTACTGGGGGGCCGCTAGCATGCCCCCCACTGTGCCCCCCTGCATTGCCTACGGCCTGCGCACGCGCAGAAGACCGACCCTGCCCGCGACCAACCCGTCCCCCCCCACGACCCCCTCGACCCCTTCCTCCCCGTCCATTATCCCCTCCATGCTCCCTGGCATTGCGGCCAGCACCCTCCTCCTCCTGCTCTTGCACCTCCTCCTCCACATCCGCGTCCCCTCCCGCCCCCGCTGCAGAGTCCTCTGCCGCAGCCGCCTCGACCTCCGCTACAGTAGGCCTATACTCATCATCATCGCCTGTTTCATCACGGGTCTGCCCACCACCCTGCCACTCTCAATGAGGACTGCTAGGCCAGTAGGAATCCTGTTCCTCACCCCCTGCATCTCCGCCATCGGTCTCAACAGGGTGCTGTAGAGCACTACCCAGCATAAAGCTGGTTCGTGCTGCAGGTGTTGGAAGTCGATTAAAACTAGCACCTGGCAGAGCTCGTCCTTCTTCATTCCCATCTCCGCCTCCCTGGTTAGACTCCCCGTTCATATTCCGTTCAATGTAGCGCCTTCGCGCTGCTGAAGGTGGCGCCTTGGCGCTGCTAAAGGTGGCGCCTCCGCGCTGCTGAAGGTGGCGCCTACACGCTGATGAAGGTGGCGCCTTCGCGCTGCTGAAGGTGGCGCCTTCGCGCTGATGAAGGTGGCGCCTTCGCGCTGCTGAAGGTGGCGCCTTCGCGCTGCTGAAGGTGGCGCCTTCGCGCTGCTGAAGGTGGCGCCTTCGCGCCGCTAAAGGTGGTCGCGATCGCGCTGCCCTATCGCGCTGCCTGATCGCGATGCTGAACCTGGCCGCGATCGCCCTGTCCTAATGCGGTGCCGCGATCGCGCATATGAGGGGCGGCGATCGCGCTAATGCGGGGCCGTGATCGCGCTGAGCAAACGCGGGGCCGAGATCGCGCTATTGCGGGGACGCGATCCCGCCAATGCGTGGCCGCCCGCGCGCTGCTGCGCCCCTAGTCGTGCGACGCTGCGAAATGGCGGGAGCGCCAAACCCTAACCTGAAGATAATATGCAGTTTAAATAGTGCTAACATTGAAGAGTGAAAACTGTATGAGGCTCCCTAGCTGCAGCGCAGAAGTACTAGCCTTGATCTAGTCTAGCGACTAGATCAGAATGTCGAGGGAAACAAAACCTAAAAAACCAACCGATGTTCAACCCCTACCCTAATCCGAAAACGGGTCAGGTAACCCTGTCATTTGACTGGGTACGCGACCCGGACGGGACGGGTCAACCCGACCCGGCGGGTCGTAAAAACCCGTCACTAAATCATTGTGACGGGTCACGGGTCGACCCGACCCGTCCGGGTTTTCCCGACCCGACCCGGGCGGGTCGGCCTTCTCAGCATTCCTGACTCGACCCGCCCAAAAGGGCGGGTCGGGTCAGGTTACCCGACCCGTCCGGGTCAAATGCCCATGCTTATCCCATGCCCTATAACAAGTTTTTTTGCCTGCCCGGGGGTTTTTTTTGCCTGCCCGGGACTGCGTCTTTTGGTGCGTCTTTCTGGTCCTGGTGAAGCGTCCTGCGTCCGGACGCATGCGTCTGGACGCATGCGTCCAAGACGCAGGACGCGTCTTTCACATCATAGGTGTGGGCGTGCTTCCCAGAGCATGTTCACCAGCAGTCCACGTGCACGGATCACTCGTCTCCTCGGTGCCGCTCATCACCCGTCCCACCCCACGTGTGCCACCCCGCTCTGCCTGTCGTGTGCCACCCCGCTCTGCCTGTCGTGTGCCACCCCGCTCTGCTTGTCGTATGCCACCCCGCTCTGCCTGCCGTGGGATGTGCGCAGATCGAGCGGGCGGAGGGGGTGGGCGAAGTGCATGCGGTGGTGGGGGAGAACTTCTTTGTCACCACCGAATGCCACAGCCTCGCTTCCCCGGGGTGGGTGCCCTACAGCCCGCCTGCTTGCCTGCCTGCCTTCTTGCCTGCCTGTGTGCTTGCCTGCCTGCGTGCTTGCCTGCCTGCGTGCTTGCCTGCCTGCGTGCTTGCCCGCCTGCTTGCCTGCGTGTCTGCCTGCCTGCCTCCTTGCCCTGCAAGGCCATACATGCTGTAAGGGGTTAGGTGGGTGAGGTGAGGGGGTGAGGGGGTTAAGAGGGGTGGGGGGCGTGAGTGGGCTAAGGGGGGTGAACCGCCAGTGGTGGCTGGATTGACAAGCATCACTCCCCCCATGCCATGGTGTCATAGAGGGTCCATTCATATTGCCCGTTAATGGAACATGCAGTCACAAACCTCACACAATGTGTGGGTGCGCCATACAAATGTTCTCCTTGGCTTGGCTTGCACCACACACTGCACAGCCACAGCCGTGCATGCCTTGCAGCCGTGCGGTTCCTGTGTTGCCCACATCTGGATGCCAACTCGCTTTGCCCATGCCATCATCTGCTGCAATCCTCCTGTTTATCCCTCTCATGTGTTTACCCCTCTCATGTGTTTACCCCTCTCATGTTTATGTAGAAAATCAGACCTATGTGCACAATGTGCACAAGGAAAAGCTGGTTCTGAGATGTTGAAAAAGGTCTACAAACAGAAAGTTAACTGAAGTAATGAATACAAACAAAACAAAAGCTAAAATAGGCAGAAAGTGAAGAGAGCTAGCTTGGAGGCGACTTGGGCTCGTCCAGGTGAGGAATTTGGTACCCAAGGGACTTGGGGTGGCCAAATGGGTGCTCAAGTCGCCCACAGCTATGTTGGAAAAGTCGCCAGAAACCAAAAGCGCACTCCGAATAGTCGTTTACGAATATACGGTGTACGCAACTCGTACGTATATTCGTTGGCGAAAGTTCGGGCTGACCCGAAAAAAAAACAGATTTCAAAAGTCGCGCACGAATTGCGAATGTGCGACGCGACTCAAAATGTACGCACGTCCCACCCCAATTTGTACGCACGTCCCAATCCAACCACATTGTCACCCACACCTGTCAAAATGTGGGGACGTGGGAAAATTTGAACCGCACTGCACCCTATGCTATCGCGCGACTCCAACACACAAACACGAATGTCGTCAACCAGCGTAGGTGGTTCAACTCAACCACATCCTGGACTATAAGGTAAGCTCTCAGTCCCGTCATCTGTATTATCTCTCTCCTCGTTCATTCTCTCTCAACACTCCCGCTCACCTGCACTTGATGTCGACTCCTTCTGGTACTCCCGCAAGTGCCACTAGTGAGGCTCCTAGTGTTTCGAATGACGCGACCATGGCGGACGACGAGGATGTTCCTGTGAACACCCATGTTATTTTTAAACATTTCCTTACCTCTACCGAAGGTACCTTGAATGGTCCTGAGCGTACTCTCCGCATATGCCGGCACTGCAAGCTTAAGTTCGTAGGGGGCGCCTTCCGTTGCGCGCAACACATCACGCGCTGGAAAGGGCTGAAACGGAAGGACATCCGTCTTTGCAAGGCGCCTATCCCTTCTGCTGACCGCGGCGCCATCCGCGAATTGTACGAAGGCAAACACGCCCGCAGGGAAGGGAAGAAGAAGGCGGAGGAGATGGCGATCGAGGCGTGTGCGGGTGGAGCGAAGAAGCAGTGCATCGACGACTTCTACGGGGAAGGGGCGTCGTGTGCGAAGGAATCGGCAGACGACGCCATCTGCCTCATGTGGGCGGCACTTCACCTCCCGGAGCATCTCGCCGATCACCCTCTCTGGCGCAACGCTGTGCGCTGCATCACGGACGCGGGCCATGGCTACGTTCCCCCGAAGCGGCGGTATGTTGGTGGCGCCGGCCTTGCGCGCTGCCGCGAAAAGATCGAGAGGGGGCTCGCTCCCATCACTACGAGCTGGAAGCGGGATGGCGTGACGATAGGCTCGGACATGATGACGGACAAAAGTGGCCGTCCCCAAGCCAACATCCTGCTCATCAACGATTCCGGTGCAGTGTTCACCGAAAGCATCGATTGTAAGTTGGAGATGAAGACGGGAGGTTACATTGCATCCGTTTTGCGCCCGATCATTGAGAAGGTGGGGCCCGCCAACATAGTTGCGTTATGCATGGATGGGGGCAGCAATTATGCGGCTGCATGTAGGGAACTCATGCTTGAGTATCCTCACATTGAGCATGTGCCGTGCGCTACTCACGTCATGGATCTGCTCATGGAGGACATTGGGAAAATGGATTGGGCGAAGGACATTGTGGCTAAGGCGGGGATGATTATTACCTTTGTGCGTGCCCACCATTTCACCAAAGGTTACATGCGAAGCCCGCAGGTGAAGGGAGGGAAGGGGAAGCAGGTGCTGAAGCCGGCGGGCACCAGATTTGGCACGCAATTCATCGCGGTGCAGCGGCTTTGCGAGGTGCGGAGTGCATTGACGCAGATGGTGCTCAGCCCAGAGTGGCAGGCTTGGGCGAAGGGGAGGAAGCCGCCGGTCGAGCCCTTCGCAACCATGATCATGGATGCCGTGTGGTGGAAAGGTGCGGAGTTCTTCGTCGCCCTCCTGAAGATCCCCTTTGCCGTCATGCGAAAGACTGACTCGACGGCCAAGGGCATGATGGGCAGGATGTACGATCTGATGCTGCAGCTCACGGAAGACATCAATGCGAAGCTGGAGGAGGAGGCGGGATTGGTGCTGTCCAGCAGCGAACGCACGGAGGTGACCAACATCGTCCAAAAGCGCTGGGACCATAGCATGGCGTGTGCCATGCACGTGGTTGGCCGGATCCTCAACCCGGTCAACCAAGAGGAAGGCATCTTCCGCACCGACCTGGAGTGTACTCGCGTCTTCAAAGCGTTTGTCGCTCGTCACTACGCAGGGCGGACCGTCACGCGCAAGGGCGAGGAGCTGCGCGCATCCCACGTCATCCAGGACGGCCTGACGGCATTCAACACCCTTCAGGGGAGCTTCGGCCTACCCGACGCCATCTCTGACCGTGAGCTCGTGAAGGCCGGTAAGAAGACGCCCGTCCAGTGGTGGACGTGGCACGGGACGGAGCACCCCGAGCTAACAACGCTCGCTTGCCGCGTTCTCTCTCAGCCAGTGTCCGCATCGGCGTGTGAGAGGAACTGGGCAGTGTGGGAATCGATCCACACTGCCAAGCGCAACAGGTTGGGGTCCGAGAAGTGTCGGGACCTCGTGTATGTTGCGCACAATTGGAACATTGTGCGCAACTGGCACAAGGGGGCTGAGGGGGTGACGGTTCTCCCGGGGAACATCCCTGAGGCCTCCCTGCCGGAAGGGTACAACGAGGTTTTGGAGGAGGATGAGGAGGAGGGGGAGGAGGATGAGCTGGAGGATGAGTACAAGTAGAGGAGGGAGGAAGGAAGGGACGGGGGGAGTAGAGGGTGGGAGTAGGGGGTGGGGTAGGAGAGATGCATGTTGCTTGCTTAGAGTAGTTGAGAATGTAAGGTTTTTGGCATATATGAAATTCGGTAAAACCACCACTCCCCCCCCCCTCCTTCGGCGGTTTTTTTCGTCTGCCCGGTAAAAACCTTTTGCTGCCCGGGCAGCGTACTTTCTGCGACTTTCAAAGTCACTCACGAAGCGCATAACGCACTATACGCAAGCGTATATACGCTTGCGTATAATGCGCTGGGCGCGACTTTTCCAACATAGGCCCACAGTCAAGATGGGGACGTGAGGGACCCTCAAAGTGGGCCTGGAAGCGCCCCCTCTAGTGGAACCGCGATTCCACGAATTGGAAACGCGAATTCCAAGCTGGAGCCGCGTTTCCAATGTTGAAATTCGTGGGTCCAGGCTGGAGCCGCGTCCCCAAGGATGGGAAACGTGCTGGGGTACCCCAAAGCCGAATTTGGGGTGCCTAGCACTTGATAAAGTCACTCAGGGGGCACCCTATAACTAATATAACCCAACCCCTATTGTCTACACTATTATAATGTAAGCAAATACATACAAACCATAAAACAAACTAGTGAACTAACCTTCAGCATATTTAAAGGAAAATAAGTACTTAACAACACCCCCCCTTAGGGTGACATCGAGGGAGAGATCAAAGAAGAAGTAGCAGGGCGAAGGCCGATGCAGGACTGTAGACGCTGAAGTGTGTCACGAGGGAGAGGCTTGGTCCCCAAATCAGCAAGGTTATCACGGCTAGGGATGTAGTGCAGCGAGATATGCCCTTTGTCAACATGATCACGGAGGAAATGGTGGCGGATGTCGATGTGTTTGGCACGGGCATGGAAAACACCAGCGTCCTTTGCCAAGACAATGGCGCTAGTGTTGTCACAGAGCAGCGGGGTGGGACCAGTGGGGGGAAGGCCGAGAGAGCAGAGGAGAGTACGGAGCCAAAGGGCTTCGTGGGTTGCCGCACCGAGCGCGTAGTATTCAGCTTCACAAGAGGATGTCGCAACTACACATTGCTGCTTGGATTGCCAAGAAATCAGAGAAGGTCCCAGAAAAAACAGGTATGCAGGGAGGGAACGACGATCCTCACTTTCGAAAGCCCATGAGGCATCACAATACCCGACCAGCTAGAGGGAGGCGGGATTGCCACCAAGAAGCAGCCCATGGGAAGAACTCCCGTTGAGGTAACGGAGAACACGTGTAACAGCCAGCCAATGAGGATCCGACCAAGAATGGAGGTGACGTGAAAGGAGTCCAGTAGAATGGGCTATGTCAGGGCGAGTGGCAACCATTGCGTACATGAGAGAGCCGACCAAAGAGGGATATGGGAAGGGTTCAGAGGGTGGCAATAAGGAGCGTGTTGGAAGGAGGAGCTTAGAGTCCATGGGGGTGTGGCTGGGGTTGGCGTGGCTGAGATTGAAGGTAGAGAGGAGTGCAGTAATAAATTTGGACTGGTGGATGAGGAGGGTCCGAGAAGAGCGGTCGCGGTCTAAGTGGAGGCCGAGGTAATAAGTTAATGGGCCAAGGTCACGAAGTTTGAAGCCAATGGGCCAAGTTGTGAAAAAAATGGGCTGACTCGCG